TAATGCCCTTACTAACTTTGAGAAGGTAAAGATTACTTTCAAAACCATTCAAAATGGATTAAATTCTAGCAATGATCGGTTTGTGTAAGCCTTTGAGTGAGCTCAGTGACCAATTTCACCTCCACGACCTTACCCACAGCCCTGGGATTTGGCTCTCAGCGGGCATCCCATCCCAGAAGAGCATGGACAGCTGGGCCTGAAAGCAGGGTGTGTCTTGGCTATGGCTCCCAGACACCACTCTGTGGATTCTCGCTCATCATGACATTTGAGTTTGAGATTCACATGTTGGCATTGCTCCCTGGGCAGCTGGGAGGTTGCATGGGGTCACAGGCTCCTGACTGCTCTTTTCTGCTGGCCTCATTGCCTTCTATGGTAGAAGTGATGCATCTCTGCTCTCTCTTGGGGATTCCTCACAAGTGTCCAAATAATCAGGTGGTGTTTGGCTCTTAGGTAGATGCTGTAGTGTCTGGATGACTCCCACAAGGGAAAGCAGTTTACCCACCATAGCCTCACGGAGGATTTTGCTGTTATTGAGTTTTTGGAGACTTTATTTGTTTGTGGCTTGGCTTTTGGGTGTTTTTTATTAGTGTACACACACACACACACACACTGCAAGATGGGTTCCTCTGCTTCTTTTTAACATCTCCCTAGCAGCCATTCATTTAGCTATTTGATAAAGATATATTGATTGCTCACTGTGTTTCACGAACTGTCTGTTAGTAAGGTATATGGTTGATCTTGCAATTTGGGAATCTGGTAGAAGCATTTTGAAGTACTCCCACTGAGATAAGTAACTTTAAATAAAAAAAATCAGCCAGTCATCTAGCAGTTGTATATTTTAGGAACCCCAAAAAAGGAAAGGGGAAATTTGTAGCCTCCAACTTCTATTCCCAGCACAAACTTTCTTAGTTGTGTGATCATGAGATAATGATGCAGTTGATGTTTTCTTCAGAGTTAAGGAGCTCTCCGGGCTCAGGAATCAGAACGTGACTTCTGTAATGCCGTTAGGATTCCAGTTACACCGATCTCTTCCAATGAGTGCCAAGGCTATTTTAAATGCTCTTTGAACCTAGGATGTTCTGTAACTTTAATAGATGAGTATGAATGATCAGAAATACAGCCAAAAGTAATTTTCTAACTTTTAGTTGAATTCTATACTTTGGTATTCTTCTTGTAAAATGTGGCAGATAAAAAAAAAATTATGCTTTTCTCCAGGAATGAAAGTCTTCAAAGGCAGCTCTAATCCCTGTCTTTGACCTAAGCATATGTCAATTTTTAACTTTTTATTTTCCATGCTATAGCTCCATAGGCTTAGAGAATTCCCTTTCTACTCTCTCCATTTTCCTGCCCTTGTCAACATCTTCCCCTGTATTGTTACAATAGTGAAGTCCTGTAGCAACAGTCACAAGTCCATCTTTCTGCTATTTAAGTGTATCCTGACGTTGTAGGTATAGACAATGGTAGAGAGTCCGGCATTCCATTGTAAATCTGTTCTTAACAGTTTCATTGGGAGTCCATGTTTTATTCATGATTAGAGACATATACTGCACTGTGTCTTCACTTCTCGGTGTGCTACTCTCCCTTATGCAGTCCTTCTAGGTAAATATATATATATGTGTGTGTGTGGAGTGAGTGGCACAAACTCAATAATCAAACTGTTGAGGTTTTTCCAACAAATGGTTGAGTGACTAAAGGATGAATATTCTCAAAGAGTTTCAGTGAGGTTAGGAAGGGTATGAAATAATGGACTATAGCAAGAGTCCTGAAGGAGGAGAAAAGGGCAATTTGGGAGCAAAGGTAACAGGAGTCAACTTGACTTCTCATAAAATAAGGTCAAATCTTCCTAGACTAATAGTTACATCCACAAAAAGTACTATACATCCACAGGAAGCAGCTTTGAGGTGCTTTTGGTTGTCAATAGGATTGGGGTTTTAACTGGCTGCTAGGGCCTGAATGTGAGAGCCCATGTGTTGGACATTGAATCCTCAGATTCATATATGGATGGTAATTGGAGGGGGCCTTTGGTAGATAATAACTGTGATAGGGGTCATGAGGTGGGCCCCAGAATGGCCTTCTTGGCTTTCTGAGACACTGAAGAGAGACCGGTAAGCTTGCTCTTTCTCAACGTGTGGTATCTGCTGCCAGTTTCGGATGCAGCAGAAAAGCTCTTACCACATGCTGGTGCTGTGCCCTTGGACCATAAAAAAGCAATCTCTTGAGAAACTCCCCAGGCTGAGATACTCCATTACAGCAACAGAATGTGAACTAAGACATTAACATTTCTTGGGAGGAGGAGGGAGGGAGAATACTACACCCTGCACTAGGTATAAGGTCCTGTAACACAAGGAATCTTCCTTCCTTCCTTGCTTCCTTCTTTCCTTGCTTCCTTCCTTGCTTCCTTCCTTCCTTCCTTCCTTCTTTCCTTCCTTCTTTACTTCCTTCCTTCCATCTATCCAATTTATTTATTTTTATTGGAAAGGCAGATTTACAGAGGAAAGACAAAAAGATTTTCCATTTGCTGGTGCACTCCCCAGATGACGGTAATGGCCGGTGCTGAGCCAATCTGAAGCCAGGAGCCAGGAGCTTCTTCTGGGCCTCCCTCCCATGCAGATGCAGGATCTCAAAATTTTGGGCCATTCTCTACTGCCTTCCCAGGCCACAAGCAGGGAATCAGATGGGAAGTGGAGCATCTGGGACACAAACTGGTGCCCATATGGGATCCTGGCACATGCAAGGTGAGGATTTAATCATTAGGCTATGACACATCCCACAAAGAACATTTCAAAATACAAACAGCAATTTAGTGCATTGTGCTGGAGAGTCAAGTGCATGGGACACTTTCTTTTTTCCTTTTAGTAATCATTTGAGACTATGCCCATGTTTTTCAAACATCTACAGGCGTAATGGCCCATTTGGGGATCTTAATGTACTGAAGGTTCATTCATTCCCTTTCTCTCTAAGAAAAGATTTATTTCGGCCCAGCACTATAGCTCAATGACTATACCCTCACCTTGCAAGTGCCAGGATCCTATATGAGCACTGGCACCAGTTCATGTCTCACATGCTCCACTTCCCATCCAGCTCCCTGCTTGTGGCTGGGGAAAGTAATAGAGGATGACGTAAAGCCTTGGACCCCTGCGTCCATGTGGAGAGCCAGAAGAAGCTCTTGGCTTAAGGTCAGCTCAGTTTGGGCCAGTGCAGCTAATTGGATAGTGAACCAGCAGACAGAAGATCTGTTTGTCTCTCCTTCTCTCTGTAAATTTCCCTTTCCAATGAAAATGAATAAATATTTTTTGAAGTCCCATATGGAATCCCGGAATGAGCAAGGCAAGGATTTAGTCACTGTGCTATTGTTCCGGAACCATGCTGGAGGTTCTAATTTAGTAGCTATGATTCACCTCGGCCCCTCCCTTGTTTGTTCATTTGTTTGTTTGTTTGTTTCCTTCCTTCCTTCCTTCCTCCCTTTCTCCCTCCCTTTCCTCTCTCCTGCCCTCCCTCTCTCCCTTCCTTCCTTCTTTCAAGGTTAATTTATTATCACTAGAAAGAGATAGAGAAGGAGAGACAAAGATCCTCCATCTGCTGTTTCACTCCCCAAATGGTCACAAAGGCCAAAGCTGAGCTGGTGCAAGCCAGGAGCCAGGAGCTTCTTCCAGGTCTTTTATACAGTTGCAGGGCACCAAGCATTTGGCCAAACTCTACTGCTTTCCCAGGCCACAAGCAGGGAGCTAGATGGGAAGTGGAAAAGCAGGGACAATAATTGGCACCCATATGTGATGCTGGCACTTGAAAGTAGAAGATTAGCCAGTTGAACCATGGTGACAGCCCTGAGATCTGTGTTCCCAACAGGCTTCAAGTGATGCAGAGACCAAGGTGCCTCACCTCAAGGCTTACACTTTATTGGCAGGGCTGGGGCTTGGGCATCAGCAACTTTAAAAGCTGATCATAATGCTCTTCATCTGAGCATTGGATAGTTTGCTAAGTCTCATTTAAAATTACAACATTGAATGGGACAGGGGTGGTGGTGGTGGTACTGTGGCTCAACAGGCTAATCTTCCACCTGCCAACATCAGCAGTCCATATTGGCCAGTGTGTACCCCAGATGCTCCGCTTTTGATTCAGCTCCTTGCTTATAGCCTGGGAAAGCTTTAGAAAATTGCCCAAGGACTTGGGTCTCTACACCCACACTGGAAACCCACAAGAAAGTTCTGGTTCCTGGCTTTAAACCAACTCAGCTCCAACCATTGTGACCATTTGAAGAGTGAATGGCAGATCTCTCCTGCTGTCGCTCCTCTTTTCTGTAAACCTGCCTTTCAAATAAAAAATAAATAAACTTAAAAAAAATACAACTTTAGGGGCAAGTGTGGTTAAAACACCTGTTAAACTAGGATGCTCATGTACCACAATGAAGTGTGAGAGTTTGGTACTTGGCCCAGGCCCCTGATTTCAGCTCCCTGCTTAAGCATACCTTGGGGTTGGGGTTGGGGAGTGCAGCAATGATGGTTCAAGCAGTTGGGTCTCTGCCACTCACATGAAAGATTTGGATTGCATTCTTGGCTCCCAGCGTCAGCCCTTGTCCATCTGTAGCTGTTATGGGTATCTAGAGAGTAAACCAATGGATGGGACCTTTATCTCTCAAATTACATATATTTACAACTTTAAGGTAATAAAAACAAATTGAAACGAAAGAAAATCCATGATCTTTTCCAATGAACTATTTCTGTTGGAAGGGGGCTCTTATTCATGTATATAAAAGAAAAATACTGTGATAATAGGATGAATGTGATTTTTATATTTTTTTGTTAATATTGCAGTGCATGCTGCCTTTTAAGGCTAATATCATGTTCTTTTACCAATTTCTTAACCATTTCTGTAACTGTAAATGAAAGCTTGTAATTTTGGCTACCACAAATGATAACAAAAAATATATTCGTATGACTACAACTTCTTTTTTTAGTGGAGAGATTATTCGTTTAGGGAGAAATTGCCAGGAGTGAGATTACATGGTCAACGCCTCTGAATATTTTTATGGCACTGACTGCGTTGTCAAATTACTTACTGAAAGGATCATGCTGGGAGCGAGCTGGCTTTTAAAGGTCAGACTTATTTTGACACAAGATCAAGGTAAGTTATATTAAACTAACGACTTGACTGATGAGAAATAAAATATATCATTTCCTAACAGAAGAAGAATATATTGCAGGAATTTAGCTGAAGTCTGCCGTGCTGTAAATGGGTCAGTCTTGTTCATTTTGGTCAGAATTATGAAATATGTTTGCACATCTGAGGGTGACCTTTTGGCTAAACCATGGCCCAAACCACAGGTATGATCTTTCTAAATGCTTCTTTGAGTGACACAATGCCTGGGAAGGGCTGAGGCTTAGTTTAGTGTGTGTGTGTGTGTGTGTGTGTGTGTGTGTGTGTGTGTGCATGCACATGTTACCTTCCATTTTATTTCATGGTCTCCTGTGTTGGAGATTAGGAATGAAGATTAGAACTGATTGCCAGATTCTCTAGAAACAATGTAATTTTCTACTTCATAAAGCAGTCAGATTCTGACATGTAGTTTCAAAAACATTGGGCCAACACTGTCGGGTAGTAAGTAAAGTTGCTGTTGTAGCCATAGCCCATGTGAGCGCTGGTTCTAGTCCCAGCTGCTCTATTCCCCATGAAGTTCTACTTCTGATCCTGCTGACGTACTTGGGAAAGCAGTGGAGGATGGCCTGGGTCTTTGGGCTCCTGCAACCATTTCAGAGACCCTCAAGGAGACTCCTGGTTTCAGACCAGCCCAACACTGGCCTTATAGCATCCATTTGGAGAGTGAACCCGGGGATGAAAGATTTTTCTCTCTTTCTCCCTCTGTAACCCTGCCTTTCAAACACATAATTCCTTTTTTAAAGATCTATTTTATTTATTTTTTTTATTGCAAAAGCAGATAAGCAGAGAGAACGAGAAACAGAGAGAAAGATCTTCTGTCCACTGGTTCACTCCCCAAGTGACTGCAAAGGCTGGAGCTGAGCTAATCCGAAGCCAGGAGCTAGGAGCTTCTTCCAGGTCTCCCACATGGATGCAGGGTCCCAAGGCTTTGGACTGTCCTCAACTACATTCCCAGGCCACAAGTGGGGAGCTAGGGAGCTGGATGGGAAGTGGAGCAGCTTGGATACGAACCAGTGCTCGTATGGGATCCTGACAGATGCAAGGCGAGGATTTCAGGCACTAGGCTGCTGTACCAGGCCCTAAATACATAATTCTTTTGGTGAGAAAGATTTAGCTTGGTTTTATTTGAAAGGAAGAGTTACTTGAAAAAATGAAACTAAAACAAATCTTCAAAATATTATGTATTTGAAATGCAAAGTCACAGAGAGAAGGAAGGAGAGAGGGAAGGAGAGAGGAGAGAGAGGTTTTCCATTTGCTGGTTCACTCCCTGGAGAGCTGAAATAACTGAAGCTGAGCAAATCTGAAGCCAGGAGCTTCTTCTGAGTTTTCCATGCAGGTGCAGAGACTGAAAGACTTGGGCTATCCTCTTCTGCTTCTCTAGACCATAAATGGGGAGCGGGATCAGAAGTGGAACAGCCAGGACTTGAACTGGCACTCATGGGATGGCAGGAGAAGCTGAGTATACTTTGCCATGGCACCAGCCCCCATCAAAAATAAATAAATAATTCTTAAAAAAATAAAATACTGTGCACAGGAGGTTTCATCTGCACAAAGCCAGGACTGTATTATTTTGTTATTCTTGGTTTAGCAGATACCTTGTGAAAAGGCTACAGCGGGTATGTGAATGCAGCCAGGGAAACTGGAGCCACAGGTGACCTAAAAGATGATGGATCATTTCCGTGACATGGATTACATTAAGTGAGCAATCATAGGATCTGATAACCAGTGTTTTAAAAACTGCTCCCGGTTGTATCAGTCTCTGCAAAAATAGTCAAGTCCCTTGCCTCCTTCTTTCTGAAATATACTTGAAATGACTGAGAAGAATTTGGAATAACATCATTTATTAGTTATCCAAGACATTTGCTCTTGCTGATTCTTGAAGTTACTTTCCTATGTTTATCTTTGATTTCCCTGTTTCAGATACATAAATGTTCTTGAAGATCAGGGCATCTAAGCAATCTAATTTAACGGTTGTCTCTTTCTTGTATCATGTCCAGGTGCAACTTCATGGGTCACTGAAGAAGACTCTCATTTCTCAAACAGCTTAGATTATGATCTTCACCAGAAGTGAGAACCACCTTGCTGGCGGGCATTTAGGCATTTGGGGAGACACACAGGAGGAGTTGGAAGATGCTAGAAGAAAGGATGGAAACTCATGCCTGCTGCTGGTGTCGTGGTCTCAGGGCAGGCATGAGAGAGAAGTGCTCACCTTGGCATCCTTAGGGATATAAAAAGAGTCTTACAAAGCAGGAGTTGGGGAGAGGCCCTAGGGATAGAGAGAGCTGGACTTTTGTACTATTTCCCTCACTTTACAACTGTGAGACTGGGTAAGATCATTAACCTCAGGATTATCTCCTGTCAAATGGAGGTAATGCCTACTTCCCCACATGGCAGGTAGAAGTTGTCCTGGCTTGATCTTCCTCATGAGGTACACTGAATGATGCTAAACAGTGATGGCTGATGTTTAAAAAAAAAAACTGAATGGGACTTTTCATTCCAGACCTTGCATTCAATGACAACTCCAGACATAATTAAATGTTTAGCAATCAGGAAAAGACAAAAACTCCATAAAAATTTAATTCTATTGCCATAAAGCAACAGCAGAATATTGGAAAACAAAATTAATAGAAATATTTCATTTATTAAAATATGTATAATAATTTTAACAGAAGGTTTGGGAAGCTCAACACTAAACATCCTAACACATTGATGAAGTGTGTTTAAGATGGTCTAAATAATTGGCAAAATACATTGTGTTTATACATCGAAAAATTCCATGTTGTTAAAATGTCAGTGCTTTCTAAATTAGGTTAATTATTTAAATGGCATCCCAATTAAGATCCCCAAAAGAACTATTTTTCTTTTTGCTTGGTAGAAGTTGTCAAGCTAATTCTAAAATCTATAGTGAAATGCGAAGAATCAAAAATATCCAAAGGAAAAAAACTTTAAAAATAAAGTTGGAGGATGTATGGAAACAGGTTTTGAGACACTTCAAAGCTACAGTAGTCAAGATAATATGGTAATAGTGTAAGGATAGAAAAAACAGCCAAAGCAAAACGTCTAGATAGATATCCATAGACAAATGGTGAAATAATTTCTCCACAGATATCGAAGCAATTCAAGGAAAAAGAAAACATGTTTTACAAGTGATACGGAAATAATTAGATATCATAAAAAAACTAATAAGCTTCAACTTCATATACTGTATAAATACTAGTCACTAACATGAAAGCTAAAACTCTAACAGCAGCAAGAAAAGAAAAAAGAGTATCTTAGAGACCTCACAGTAGACAATGAGTTATAAGAGAGAACACATAAAAAATGTTATCACAAAACAAAGATTGACCAAGTCAACTTCATCAAAATTAAAATCTTTTGCACACCGAAAGATACTATTGAGAAAATTGATAAACTGGGAGTAAATATTTGCAATACATATGGTCAGATAAAGCATTTGAATCTAGAATATGTATGATGAGCTTCTATAAATTAATAAGAAGAAGCTAAACAATTAAATAAAAATAAGCCAAAGGTTTGAATAGATATGTCACAAAACATTCTATGTAATATGAACAAACACAAAAATATGTTCAATACTGCAGTCATTGAAGAAAGGCTAATTAAAATTGCAATGTAATACTATGTCATTCATACAAAAGACTAACAAAACCAACTGTGAATAAAAGAAAGGAGCTTACATATATTGCTGATCAAAATATAAAATGGAGCAACCACTTTAATAAAATACTTGGCAGTTCCTTATGAAGTTAAACATATACCTACCCAATGAAGCAGAAATTAGATATTAACTGAAAGGAAGTGAAAACATTCATTGAACCAAACCTGGAAACAACCCAAAGGTCCATCAAAAGGAGACTGATACACAAATTGTGTTATATTCATACAGAAATTACTTATCAGAAATGAAAAAGAATGCAGTACTGACATACATAACCTAGGTGAATAAAAAATGTTAAAAAAAAAAAGCTAAGTGCAAAATTAAACATACCATGTGATTGTACTAATACAAAGGTCAAGAACAGACAAAACTAAGCTATGACAACAGAAGTAAGAACAATGGTTTCCTATGGGTGGAGTTCACTGAAAGGAGCACAGGGGAAATTTTGGTGATAAAGGAAACGTTCCATATCTTGGTGAAATGTGTAGATAACATTTACCAAAACTCAGCAAATCAAACATTTAAGATTGAAGATCTGCTCACTTTGAACAAAAAAGTGGATGCATCTCAATTGAAAAAAAGTCAGACTGGGAAAAGCAAATGAAACAACTTCATGTAAGTAATTTTGTTTCTGTGATCAAGAACTTAAAATTTCAAAAATTTACGATTACATGTTTTTTCTCTGCCGTTTATTGTATGCTTCTCTCCCATTCCTGAGAGGCAAACAACGATTATTCTCACCAAAGTGATTTCTGTCTTGGACATAGAGGAGAAGAAAGATAGCGATTCACAGTTTTGTAAGAGCGAAGAGCTGCAGGCAACGTTTGCAAGTGCCTCGGTTGCCAGCAAGTGGTGTTCAACTATGTGCAATTCATAGCATCCATAGTACGCTTGCTTGGACTTCAAATGCTTCCTGTTTCATGGCAATGTGTTTGTTATGGATGGGACAAAATGGAAAGTTAGGGAGGGAAATTGTATTGTGGATGATAGAAAAGCTCAGGTTGTATCTCTAAACCTCGACGTAGTTGAAGTCAAAGTGCCAGGAAGAATGAGGCAGGTAATGCAAACAAATTCAATGCAATTTTACGTGGACAGTTTATGTTTTCAGATTTAAATCTGTTTAGGATTGTGTTTATGTATTATGTATTATCATGTGTTTCCTTGCTATGTGTCCAGTTTTGGGGGCTTGTTTCTCTTTATGGAAATTTTCTTGATAATTGGGTTAAACTAACTGGTTAAATGAAAAATGACTAACTTGCGCAAAATGTTTTTAAATTTCCTTTTTTAA